CTCATTTTATTTATTTATTTATTTATTTTTGTGCTGGGGATTGAACTCTGGACCTTGCATTTGCAAGACAGGCACCACTGAGATAAATCCTGGTCCTCCTTTTTAAACATGTACTCTAGGCATGGCTAATTATGGGTCTTTGCTTCTGTCCCAGGATCCAACCACCTCCTTTCCTTTGGGAAGTGAGGCTTCTATGTATTTGGCCTAGCAGCCAGTTCTGCAGAAAGGACTACAATATTGTTAATGATAAAAGGCAATCCAGATAATAGCATATCAAGAAAATCAGTTAATAGCAACTACTTTGCCTCCTTGGCAATCATGATAAAATCAGCAACAGTAATATCTGGGAAGATAAACTGGATATTGACATAGCCTTAGAACCGGTAGTGTACAACCCTTAACCATTGAAAGAACTTGAAACAATCAGCCCCCCCAAATATAAATACCCAATTCAAAAATGGGCAGCTGAAATGAACAGACATTTCTCAGACAAAGAAGTAAAAACAGCAAGTGAATATATGAAAAAATGTTCCACACCACTGGTCATTTGAGAGATGCAGATGAAAACAACACTGAGATTCCACCTCACCCCACAAAAATTGGCTGCTATCAAGAAATCAACCAATAACAAATGTTGGCGGGGTTGTGAGGAGAAAGGAACGCTTCTCCATTGTTGGTGGGAGTGCAGACTGGTGCAACCACTATGGAAATCAATATGGAGATACCTCAAAGAGCTGGGACTAGAGGTTCCATTTGACCCAGCCATCCCTCTTCTGGGTAACTTTCCAAAAGAATTAAAAGAATCATGTCACAGTGATATATGTGCACCTATGTTTATAGCAGCACAGTTTGTAATAGCTAAAACTTGGAAACAGCCCATTTGCTCATCAGTTGGAAACTGGATAAAGAAGATGTGTTTTTTCTACAAAATGGAGTACTACTCGGCCATAAAGAATGAGAAATTAGATTCATTCATAGGAAAATTGATACGTTTTCAGGATATAATCCTAAGTGAAATAAATAAGTCACACATGTGTAAATACCTAATAGTTTCTCTGGTGTGAAAAACTATAATAGTAATTAACAATGTGAAATAGGAAGAAAAGGGCTAAAGGTGTAGGGA